GGGTTTAGGGGTTTAAGGTTTGGGACCAAGATTCAGAGTCATGGTCCTTTCTGCTGGAAAGGATGAGACACAAAATGCTTGGCCATGAGCACTTTATGGACGGATCAGCTGTGCAATAGCGCTCAGTGGCTTCGGATTGCAGAGCATGGGCTAGCACTCGAAAGAAAAGAAAGCGTTGGCTGCCGTTGTTGATTTGCCCTAACCCTACACCCTAAACCTGGGTATGGACTACAGTATCGAATCGTGGCACACTGTTCAAAGTCTTCGAGTCTCAAGGCTGGGAGAAGGGGGTCGAGCAACCGGCATTTGGGGCTCAGGATCTTAGTGCAGATCTCGATTCGTAGTGCCATGTCTAACCATTGCCATGATGCTTCTGCCATGTTCAGCTTATCTTGTCATTCTTGCTACGAGTCTGTCGTTCTTGCAGTGCTCTATTCTTACTCTGAGCTCGGAACCCGTCAAGCCCAACCCTTGTTTTAAATTTTTTCTCTCCTACATTCGATGTTGTGTCTTGAGGTTTGGGGATTTCTGCAGGAATCCCCGAACAAGAACGTGCGTAAGCAACCCCCACTTTTGTAGGGTTCTGCCTAGGTTTTTATTGCTGAGCTTGGGGATTCTGAACATTTACTTTGGGTGTGTGGGGTTTAGGGTTTAGGGTTTAGGGTTTAGGGTTGCTGTGGGTCCTACTATTGCAGAGAGTAGAACCCAGGTTCTGATCAGTTTCTACCTGAAACCCCAGGCCCCTGAGCCCCAAACATCTAGCAAGCATACCAGGCCCTAAACGCCCACGAAAAGCTTAGGGGTTTAGGGCTTAGGGTTCAGGGTTCAGGGAACTCTTGCAAAAGCATCCGAAGCCTTCCATTCAAGCCAGGTCTGTGGTTTTCAATGCTCACCACGAAGACTTGCAGTGCCATTGCGACATTACGAGTGCGAATCAGTATTACTAGTCGTTCGACTCCGGATTAACAGCTCTTGCACCCTCAACCTTCTGCCACAAAATCCAAACCTAAGTTAAAGTAGCTATACTTAGGCCATGAGTATCATACTTGAGGCTGCAAGCCGCTCTTCCAGGCCTGGGAAAGGAAAAGTCTCCAAGAAGGCCTCCGATGCAAGGACTCTAGGGCGGTGCTGGGACGAATTGAAGAGATAGGGCTTCAAGGCTTCTGTAGACCTTCAGCTGCCTACGTCTTTGCTCGATTTTCTGGTGTGTTGGGGGATCTTGGGCTCCGGCATCAGTTCTGCCACTTCAGCTCTGTCTATCAGGGCTTCCCTTCGTCACTTCGGGAGAGCCCTGAGAGGGGAAGAATGGTCTCAACAGGCTCCGGCTTCAAAAAAAGGGTCGACGAGTTGCAGTTCCTGAGTTCCCTAGCGGGTGAGTTTGTCTAATTCGGTATACTCAAAGTGCTCAATTTCGAAATCGTCGCCCTGCTAGAACATCTCATCATGCTTTGCCACACGCTATCGATCAACTTGAATGCACACACTTACACACAGCTGGGAAGTGTGAACCAGATAACCTAATGATTTGAATCGTTCTAACACGGAAACAGCGCAAACTTCTTCGAAGAATCTTCCTATTACGAGCCCCACATACTATAGGGGCCTCAATAATTCGACTAGGATTTTGGTGGTTCCTTAATTCTAGCATAATATACCCCAACACCCTCTTCTAATTATTAAGGCCCCTAAACCCTAAACCCTCATAGTAGCCCTTATAGAACCTTTGAGGAACCCTTTAAAGGAACCACCCCGCAAACCCTCTTCTAATTATTAAGGCCCCTACAGCCTGAACCCTTATAGTAGCCCTTATAGTAACCCTTATAGACTTCTTTAAGAACCCTTTTAAAGGAACCCTACTGAAATTATTAAGGCCCCTACATTCATCCTTTTTCGGAGTCTCCGGCCGCGCCTTCCTGACCTGGCCGTTGAAATCGTGGCGCTTGCCGAGGTATTCGCCGACCTCCGCTCGGGCTTTTGCTTTTTTCCTAGGATCTCCTTGGGGTTTGAGGTTTAAATTTTGGGGAGTTTGGGTAATATAGGGGGTTTGAGGTTTAAATTGTTGGGGAGTTTGGGTAATATAGGGGTTTGAGGTTTAATTGTTGGGGAGTTTGGGTAATATAGGGGGTTTGAGGATTAAATTTTGGGGAGTTTCCGTAACATAGGGCCCTTAATAATTGGAATAATAGGGCTTTGGGGCCCATATTCTACTATAATAAGAAACCGCAAGATAGTATAGGTATGGAGGTCGATAGAGACAAGGAGGTGGGCAGCATAAAAATCAACACCTTGAGCATATAAAATAAACACCCAGCCCATGGGTAATTATTTAGGCCCCTACATTATCTTGTTTCAAAGGCGTTGTGGACTAGGGTTCAAAAATTGGGGGCTTCCATGTGCTCCATCGATAGGTCTCCTCACAACACCTGCAGAGTGAGATGGGGGGAGGGTTGCTGAGGCCGTTCAGGCTCTGAGACTCGGGGATTCGAGGCTTGACGAGGTCGAGTCAAGGTGTTGACTGCCGGGGCTTTGAGAAAGAGGCGACAGGGGCGTTGGGACACAGTTGGTGCGGATCGCAAGTTCTACAAGCAGCTCGAATGACCGAATAAGCAAAATAACAAGCCCGACAAACGCAAAGCGCAACGATAAATTGAAGCAAGCACGCGCGGCCAACGCTCGTTTCCAGTGGCCGTTTATAAAGCCCACTCTTCATAACGTAAGAACAATGCTGCTGTGCGCACAAGGACCCAACAATAAGCATGGGCCCCGGCTATGACCATGTCAAGGCCGGGCGTATGGCGCAGGAACCTTGGGTGCAATCTGGGTGTCTCCTTACATTTCCAGGCTTATTCGGGGGCGGTTGGTCTATAAACCAGGAGCAGACACTGTGTAACTAGAGTCCTAGAGTTTCAGCACTCTCTCCGATAGACTCTGGGTGGTAGGATCTTGATACAAAAGAGGCCCTTTTCATCCGAACTTCCACACCGTCTTGCGTGCCAAACTGTGTGGTATTCTGGGCATCGACAAGGCCCATGTCCTCAAACTATGATAACTATGATAACGAAACCACGCGGCAACCATGGTACCCACCGCTATCTAGATAGTAGCAGCGATGATGGTAGAGCAGTGAGTGGTGCTATACGTAGATTAGAACAGTCCTTGCTCGGGTTACATAACAGATTAACACACAATATGTTTCTGATCTACAGCACCCCTCTCCCACAAAAACACACACACAATCCGATCATTCGCCATCTATGCAGCCCTGTGCAAGTAAACAACTTAGCCCTTGTGGGCCCTACGTTCTTGGGCCTTAATACTTAGAATAGGCTTTTGGGGCCCATTATACCACAATTATAATAAGGGGCCCCTAGAATAGCGTAGATAATTATTTAGGCCCCCCCCAAAATTACGTTCTTGGGCCCTCCTCTGCCGGGGTGCTCTGCGAAGGACTCGGGGGTCACCGGGTTGGAAAGGAGACCTAGGGACTGGAGCGCCCCGGTGCTCTTCGACCTCGGCGCTGAAGGAAGGAGGGTTTAGGGTTTAGGGTTTAGGGTTTAGGGTTATAATTAGGGTAGAACAGGGTTCCTTTGAAGGGGATTTTTTTAAAGGGGTTCCTTAAAAGGGGCCTCAATAATTAGAATAGGGTTCGGGGGTATATCATACTATGATTATAACAGGGAGCTCCCCAAAACCCTCTTCTAGTTTTTGAGGCCCCTACATTAGGCTTTGGGGCTATGGGGTTTAGTTTAAAGTTTTAAGATTCAGGGCCCCTTGTTCAGGGCTGAGGGTTGGAACCGCCCAGAAAAAAACGCGACGGGGCCTCTGAGGACGGTTTGGGGCTGAGGGACACCTGCTTTGGAGTTCACCGGGCCCATGGCTGAGAATTGCGGGATGCGAGACCCCGGCTGGAGCATCACGTGTAATAGTGAAACAGTGGGCTTATAAGTAAGGATGAAGTGATACTGGGGGCTCAGGGTTTAGGGGGCTTAGGTTTAGTGTCTGGGGCTTGTTAACCCGATTCGCAGAATTCGGGTTTAAGGTTTGCGACTGCTGATAGACATGCATTCTTCCTCCTGGGGCTGTGGCGGCTCACTGTTGAAAGTTCGCGCCTCGGGATGTCTGGCACTTCGGCTGCGTTCTTCGGGCTGTATGGCTTTGGAATGTGTCCAGCTTTCGTCTCTGGTATAGTTTAGGGTTTAGGGTTTAGGGTAGCATAAGGTTGTTAGGAATTCGGCTTTTGCCGGAGACTGAGCGGAGGCTTCAGGTGCTGTTGGAATGGAGGAGTGGTGTTTAGGGCTTCAGCTGTAGTGTCTGTGCTTTAGGGGCAATGCATGAACAGGACTCAGTCTGAGCTGCGGCCAGCTCACTGGAAGCTTATGATGACGGTTTAGGGTTTAGGGTTTAGGGGTTTAGGGTTTGGGATTTAGGGTTTAGGGTTTAGGGTTTAGGGCTTCGGAGCTAGCAGAAAGCTCTCGCCCCTAGGGCCTAGGGATGAGGATTCAAGCTTAGGGCTTGTAGGCTCCTGGTGCGGGCTTTTGGGATGAAGGGAGGAAGGGATCACGGATTATGCTACGTTAGGCTTGCAGTGTAGAGGTTTCAAGGGTACCTTCACGCTAGGAACTTTGAAAGGGCATAACCGATCTTCTAAGGATCTTACGCTTGAGCCAGAGCCTGAGACTTCTCACAGTTGATAGGCACCTTGAGCAGACAACAGACGTAAGGCCCAAATCGTGAAACCGTAAAGCCCAAACCATCGGAAGTCGGTCGTTGGCAAAGGTTCATTCCAGCCAAGCCTGCTGAAAAAGCCATCCTCTTCACTTTCGCAGCACACACCATAATACTGCAGGGGACTGAATCTGAATGCCTGTCCCGCAAAAACCCCAAGGTCAGGATATTCCTAAGTACATGGCAACCTTGGACGAATGAATCTTTAGGCCTTCCCCCCGGAGATTGTCATGCAACGCCCATCGACCCAAAGACGCTCTCTGAGCTATAGTCCCTCACTTCAGCCCTGTTAGCCGCCCCAGTACACCACACTAAAGCCCATAAAGCAGCTAGCACAATAAAGGGCTTACAGCCCGATGAACCATCACCCTCAAACCCAAGAGAACCTATAGCTGGATCCATCCTACCACTTCGTGAGCCTAGGTTTGTTTCTGACCGCATGTTTGTGCGTGGGGGTTCGGCTTTGCACTGCAAGGCTTTCGATTTTTGGTTTCGTGGATATGGGGTTCAAGGCATCCCTAAACCCTAAACCCTAAACCCTAAACCCTAAACCCTCTTCAAGGCATGAGGCTTGGGGCGGACAGGTGTCAGCGTCTGGGTTCCGAACAGCGATCGTGAGCCTTCGCTTCTGCTCCTGCCAAGTTACTGGACTTTGGATTCTGCTATTGCTTTATGGTTTAGGGTTTAGGGTTTAGGGATTAGGGTTTAGGGGTTTAGGGTTTAGGGTTTAGGGTTTTGCTTTATGGTTTGTTCAGATTACTACTATTATTGCTTTTGTTCTTCTACTAGCAGTATCAGTAGAGCCCTTCCACCACAGACCCGTGCTTCCCTTGGAGCCTTGGGGAACAAACACCTAGAGAGCAGCCCCGAAAGCCCGAACCCTGGGCCGACTTCGCAGGATCTCTGGAGAACGAAAGAGAACTCACGAAAGGGAAACGCATTAAAGAACAAGCATGTTCATACCCTGCAGCCCGTACACCTAAACAGATAGTCGCCACACACAGATGCCAAGCAGTAAGCAACTGCGATTACCATCGCCTAAGTCTCTGGAGCCACACGCAACTCATGGCAAGCGATTGTACGCATTGTGTGCAAGTGCACGTGCAAAAGACAGACTGGACACACTGGCACTGGCATACTCATTACAGCATGCATGCATACAAACAGCAACAGAGAGGGGAAGAGAGAGAGAGAGAGAGGGCGAGGGTCCCAAAGTAGTAGAGTATAGGATAGGATAGTATAGGATAGTATAGTACGGTATAGTATAGTATACTATAGTATGGTGAGAGAGAGAAAGCGAGAGAGAGAGAGAGAAACCAGGAACTCCAAGAGATGGCCTTCTTTCGTTGAAGCTCGGTCTCCCCGGACGTCGGCGTCGACTTGGCGACCGAACAGAGTGTGTAGGGAAAAAAGGGCCCTCCGGGTTTGGTCGTGGTGCTCTCGGTTTGTAGACCGCTGCAATTGCATGGCGGAGTCATGCGGAGTCATTCGTAAGTTTAGGTTCCGAAGAAAACACCACCCAACAGCATGAATTTGTCAGGAGAGCCCTACCGCCGATATCCTAATCCGGTCATCGTTCTACACAGCGTGGATTGGGCGCAAAACCGAAAACCACTACTTCCGAATCTAAAACATCCCCCAAACTCCGGCTTTTGAACTTGGTTTGTCGATTCTGGATCCGGCTGCGGCTGTTAAGGGGCTCCTAGACCCAACAAAGCTCTCATGAATAAGGCCCACTCCATAACTAGTAGGCTTGGGTCCAAGTAATGGTACAGTCTAGACTTTTGGGCCCCAACTATCAACTAAGTAGCTACCATAGTAGTACTTTTACCCTTTGGGAACGGTTCAAGGGCAGTTTAAGCCTATGTGAAGCAGCTATAGCCTTCCAGCTTCCCCAGGTACCTACTATATAGGGTACTAGACCACCTAGGGCCCTTCTTAGTAGGTACCTGGGGGGGTTAGGGACTGAGATCCCTGAAGCCCCATCTTCATCTTACCCCGGAGCCCTGAAGCCCCAACCAGGAGAAGCAAAATGCCTGGGCAGTAGAAACTCAATTATCAACCCCTGGGCTGCAACACCCAACCCTATAGTAGGTTTGTTTTTAAAGCACCTTTCTCCACCTAGCAGTTAAGGTATAGGGTTTAGGGTTTAGGGTTTATTATATATAAATAAGCCCGAAAACCGAAATTCACAGCTCTGGGTTGCGTCGCAGGACCGCGGTCCACGGCCACGTCTCCAAGGCGGAAGTGCCTTCGAAAGAGCTGAGAGCAGCTTTGGGAGCTCCGGGCTCGGGCCTTAAAATCGGGGTTTCCGAAAATAGAGGACGTTAAGGCCGTTGAGGTAGTTCCCCTTTATAGTAGGATCCTTATCATAGGGACCCCAAAACAAGGTACCCCTTCTTTTCGGAAACCCCCAAATCGGGGCTTTTGGGTTTAAAGCCTGGGCCGGGGGTTTAGGAGCTCGGGGATTTCGGGTTTACGTCGAGGTGCAGGGGGTGGGCTTTGTGGGTTTCGGGGTTTAGGGCTTTCAAGGCATGCAGGGCTTTGGAGGGCCTTAAAGCCACTTTAGCATGTTGAAGCTGTTTACGGGCTGGGGCTCCAGGCCTGCACCAGAGGCTTGCGTACTCAGGTTTAAGCTCAAGGGTGGTTGGCTGAGGGTTTAAGGCCCACATCTGCAAGTGCACGGCTTTAGCAGGTTCCTAGTTTGGATTCACCAGCCTGCAAAGCGATGGATGGGAGGGGGAGCCCTCAACCCTAAATAAACCCTGAACCCTAAACCCTAAACCGAAACTGCTCTGGGACGTTTAACTTGAGGCGCCCCTGGCCCCTAGGAGGCTCGAATCCTGACAAAAACCAAGCGCTTCATACTCTGCAGTCGTACATTTCCGAATCCTGGCCTTAATAGTTGGAATAGGGTTTTGGGGCCCTGTATAGTATACGTATAATAAGGAACCCCCCCAAAACCCTATTCTCATCATTTAGGCCCCTATTTTAGTCACAGCCCAAGCCCTTTTCCGTGGTGCCCCGGCTTGTGGGATTCACAGCGCAAGGAAAGAGAATGCAAAATTGACCTTGGACGGCCAAGTCGGTTGCCCTGACGAGGTTCGCACTATGCCAATAATCGTTAGCTGTCGGATTGCGGGTCCAGAATTTGGGGCTTTGGAGCTGAGGGTTTATAAGGGTCGAAGTTAGAAGCCTACATTTCAGTGCGGCTGCTGTTGTTTCTGCCATCTGGAGCCCGAAAAGGACGCTTTGATGTGGGGCGGGCTGGGGCGGGGGGGGGGGCGCTTTAGATTTGACCGGTGCCCACGCCCAGGATGAAAGCGAACCGCCTCTCTCAAGCCCTAAATGGTCCAGCCGCTGAGGCAACCTGAGCAGCTCGTGCGTATCTCCCCCACTCGTTCCCATGCGCAACTTCAGCAGCAAAGCCCCAAAAACCCAAGGAAGTCAAAATTTAGCAAGCTTACAAGAAAAAGTCCCGAAATTTCTCGAGTGTGATGTTGCAGTACTCAAGTCTCAAATCGGTGCTTGGGGGGTGATCAGGGAACATAGCCGGAGATTGGGGGCTCTAGGACCGGAGGAAGCAGGGATTGCGAACCCTTCAGGATTCTGAAAGGGGCCTAAATAATTACCAACACGATTTTGGGGCTCCTTAACATTATTGTTATTACTATAGCATAATGGGCCCCAAAACCCTAGTCTAATTATTAAGGCTCCTATTATTATGACAGAAGGTGCAGCTTGCCAGGGTCTCGCGCAGAAGCCCGCTGAGCGCCAGCTTATTCAGGGAGTTGAAGGCCCCCCGAGCCTTGCGGGTTCGTTCCTCTTCTTTCCTTCCCGAACCCCCCAGGTACCTACTATATAGGGCCCTAGGGGCTCTAGTACGCTATATAGTAGGTACCTGAAGTACCTGGGGGGTAAGGGCTTTATTGGGTTTAGGATTTAGTGTTTCGGTTGGGATTCGTCAAGGATTCCATAAGAGGTCGGAGGTTTTGGGGGTTTCGGAAATAGGAAACAGCCGCCATGCCGTGGCGTTCTGCATCTACCTCTTCTGGGCATAGCACGGCCACTAATATCGGTTCCTCCTAAACTCTATAGACCTCGAAAAAATTGAAACCAAGGGTCTAATTCCAAGCTCCCAGACCCAAGT